ACTATTTTTATCATCCAATTACAGGTCCAAGCCATTCCTGTATTTAGTCGCTAGTTCAACCTACAGAGGACGCCATCTTGTAGATGCAGCCTCGTTCCCAAGTTTCTCTCTCTTGTTTCCTTGAAAGAGGAAGAGAGGACATTGTGAACAAGATCTTTCAGCATTTGGAGCAACCGTTTCAGCAAAATATAGATCTAAAGCATACATCAAGCACGTAAAAAAATAAAATGATTTCATAGAAAACTTCAATTTATGCAAATTTCTTGAATCAATGACTGTTAATAGGTGAAAATCATACATGTGAACTGCGGTTTAAGAAATGAATATGACAGCGATCTTCGCAATATTGAACACTACCGAGTATCATTTAGACCGTAGGGGAAAATTTACACCAGCATCAAGATAAAAACTTTTCGAACCTGAGTGACCTTGGCCTGTAGCAAGTTTGTTCTGGTCAAGTAATGTTTAAGCTGAGTGATGGCCTGTTTACGTGAAGGTGGGAGACCGCAGGTAGGTGAGGTAACCCGCCTATCCGTAGTCAAAAAATAGCCTGCGTTGACATGCAATCTTACAACCCCGGGGTAAAGTTCGAAGAGGTTGTTGGCGCGCTCGCAAATGTAACATGAGCATGATCCCGGCTAGGCGGGTTATCCCACCTTTAGACGTTTACCCCGGCTGAAACGGTAACCCTACCGGGTAGACTATAGCTTCACGAAGTATGACTCGACGACACGAACATTAACGCCACGAGGTGTGACTCGACGACACGAAGAACAGCCTTGTTCCCAGGTTCCTTTCGATCTTTCTTTTTTCAATGAATTAAGAGAGGAAACTGGGATCGAGATTGGCATATAACGCTGACATGATCAATAAATTATTGTTGTATATCTTATAGTGAGCAATATTATGATTGAATAGTGTAACATTTAATCCATTCACATATGTGATCCCAGTTTTTACGACTCTTAAGAGCCGATTGATTTTGAGTCAACAGTTATGCAAAAGAGGAGGGAGGGGGTGGTTTCCATTGAGTAATTCCTTGGCTGAATCGCCTCTTCGCTCCGGGCACTATGATAATCAAACGTCGTGCAGGATCTACTTAAAACATAATAAGTCACTTATTGTTAAAATCATAAAATTAATCTCCACATCCCATGTTTCATGTCCAAAAAATTAGGAATGTTTGTGGTTGAAACGGTTATTGACCAGGTCAAAAATTCAACGCCTTGTTTATAACTTGGATGTTAAACCCATGAAACAGTGAGTCGTTCAAGGCAGCTTGAAAATAACAATAATGATCATGTGCTAATTTACTTGAAACAATGTGAAAAAATTCACATCGCAACCTTGTATATCCTATTTGGTCACCTTTACCTTGATAATATCATGATTAAAAAACTTTCCTTACTGTTCTCTTTGGAGCATTTTTTCAAACGCAAAGGGGTCCATATAAAGGTTTAAAAAGTTTCCCTCTATTTATCGTTAGTGCGTTTTGTCTTTTGGTTTGTTTGCTTCATTTTGACCAAACACTACTGGGTAACCTATCGCCAAGACCCCAGAACTACAAAAAGTGTTCCCTGATCAAAATTGTAACAGATGGGAGCCAAAGTTTTCTTCTCACTTGATTCTGCGGTAAAACAGCCGTGATAAGGATCGAGCAAAAGCTACTTAAAAATGTGTGCTCTAATCAGCCAAAAAACAAATCAGATAAAGTGATCAACAATAAAATCAAGGCAACTTCATGTGTTCCTCATAGTGGCTAAGAAGCTGGGAAGCACTGCTCAGTTCCTCCTGGCAAATCCAGCAAGTAAATGTTTCATCGTAATCTGAAGATAATGGTTGCTGTTCAAAGTGTAATCTTTCGTGCTTTCGTAGTGTTCTTTCTAGAGAAAACCACTTCTCGCACATTTTGCACTGGTATGGCTTCTCACCAGTGTGGGATCTTTCATGTGTTCGAAGATTACCTTTTTGAGAAAACCATTTGTCACAAGTTTTGCACTGGTATGGCATCTCTCCAGTGTGGGTACTTTCATGTATTTGTAGACTTCCTTTTCTTGTAAAACTCTTGTCACAAGTCTTACACTGGTATGGCTTCTCTCCTGTGTGTGATCTTTCGTGTCTTTGTAGATGACCCATTTGGGTAAACCACTTGTCACATGTTTTGCAATGGTATGGCTTTTCTCCAGTGTGGGATCTTTCATGTACATACAGACTTCTTTTTGAAGTGAAACATTTCTCACAAATTTTGCACTGGTATGGCTTTTCTCCAGTGTGTGATCTTTCATGTATTTGCATACCTCTTTTTGTGGTAAAACACTTGTTACAACTTTTGCACTGGAATAACTTCATTCCAGTGTGTGATCTTTCATGTATTTGTAAATTACCTTTTTGAGCAAACCGCTTGTCACATGTTTTGCACTGGTATGGCTTCTCTCCAGTGTGGGATCGTTCATGTATCTGTAGATTACCTTTTTGAGCAAACCACTTGTCACATGTTTTGCACTGGTATGGCTTCTCTCCAGTGTGGGATCTTTCATGAACTCTTGCATTTGCAATATAAGTAAAACCCTTATTACAAACTTTGCATTTAAATGGCCTCTCTCCAGTGTGTGATCTTTCATGCATTCGCAAACTTCTTCTAGTAGTAAAAAACTTTTCACATATCTTACACTGGTATGGCTTCTCTCCAGTATGAGATCTCATATGTGCTTTGAGAGTTTCTTTTTGTGTAAACCACTTGTCACATGTTTTACACTGGTATGGCTTCTCACCAGTGTGGGATCTTTCATGTCTTCGAAGATTACCTTTTTGAGAAAACCATTTGTCACAAGTTTTGCACTGGTATGGCATCTCTCCAGTGTGGGAACTTTCATGTATTTGTAGACTTCCTTTTCTTGTAAAACTCTTGTCACAAGTCTTACACTGGTATGGCTTCTCCCCGGTGTGGGATCTTTCATGTATTTGCAGACTTCCTTTTCTTGTAAAACTCTTGTCACAAGTCTTACACTGGTATGGCTTTTCTCCAGTGTGTGATCTTTCATGTCTTCGTATACTTCCTTTTCGAGTAAAACACTTGTCACAAATTTTGCACTGGTATGGTTTCTCTCCAGTGTGGGTTCTTAAATGTACTTGTAACTTTCCCTTAGATGTGAAATGCTTTTCACAAAATTTGCATTTCAATGTCTTTTGCACGCAGCTCTTAAATCTTGCAGATTCTTTACACGTTGATTTGATTTTCCACTTTATTTGTACCTTCTCAGTACAGGATGTTTTTGTTTTTGCCATGTTAGTGCCAACTGAGAGACAGCAAAGTAATCTAAAATGCTAAAAGAAAAGAAACACATCAATTCAACTGGAGGGGGATATTAGGTAGAGTTTTACCTTCCCTTCCCCTTCCCCCTCCCCCATCAAGAGGGTGGAGGGGGGAGAGGGGGAGGGGTGAATGCCACATGCCCTTTAGATTTTTTTTTAAATTTTATCAAGAGGCTTTTAGCTGGGCAACTGTCCACTTAAGTAGCTGTTTGTTTCTCTTGAAGACATATTTGTTTTGATGTTGGTCAAATTTGCCTGATAGATATTGGAGATATTAAATGATGAGTAAGGTGTGGTTGAGGGCTTGATAAGAGCTATGAAAGAATGAAGGCTTTAACGTTAGAAATGAAAGTACAGTAAATCTATTAGTCAATTTCTGAGTGTCATTTCTACTTTCCTGTTAGGTTTGATTGCTACTGTTCTTTTGATAAGCCAAAAATAATAGTGAAAAAAGTGAAAAATCTAAAAAAAGAAAAAAGGCTGCCATGTGGAATGACATCACTGGTTCCCCAGTAGAACCATTTGTATATCTATCCCATAATATTCACATCATACAGTCTATCTAATTCAGGTAAAAGCCTTTCAAAATATTGTAACATAATGCTGGGGAAGGGGGTATCTAATCACAACCCTCCCCTCCCTTGTACCAAAGTGGGGTATGAGTTTGCATATACATGTAAGTCACCACTCTTAACCCTTTAACTCCCACAAGTGATCAACACAAAACTTCTCCCTACAATATTCATACATTATTCAGCAAACAGGTAATGAGAATATTCAAACTTATCAGGTAGAAGCTGCTATCTTGATCTAGCACCATGTTCTTATAACTAATTTACAAGGAAATGTGTAGCATTTAGAGTGGAGAATTAGCAAATAAGATCTTGGGAGTTAAAGGGTTAAAATACATTCATATGCTTTTTTCCAAAATATCTGTAGACCAAACTACTTAAATGTATCTACATTTACACTTCGTATGGCTTTGGGTGACAAAGGGACAGCAGTCTCAAAAGGAGTAAGACTTACAGTTACTGTAAGTCTCACAAGTTCACAAAATTAATGGTACCTTTGTAGTACCTATGAAGTATCTGGGGGGCATGGGTTTGAATCCCATCCAAACCTAATTTTTTCTTTCCAGGCTTCCCTTCTGCAATTGCTTACATTGCAGCTCACCTGCAAGAATCATTCCTTTTTTTGAGAATCATTGAAAACCACATTGGAGAACCACTTCTCCGATGTATTTTGAAGACTGGGAAATTAAATTCTCTTTTACCGGGTATATATGAATCAACACGAGACAAGACAAGACAACTTTATTTTACCAGGGTAGCCCAGTCAGCTGCAAGGCTGGTATCCTTAGGGGATAAAACAAGAACGAGAAAACAAACTAAGACAACTCTCTTTCACGCTTTTAAACAGGACTACAAAAACCAGAAATAATTATTTCGAATTCGATTAACAGATGGTGAAACATATTCTTCTGGCCAAATCCAGACTCATGGAGCACAGACAGTGACAAAAGATCAATCGCTCTAAAGACCCTATTATCGTGGTTTAATAAAGTATAGGTTTTTAAATTACTTCATTGCCAACGTACGTTAACCGAGGTACTGGTGGCCCTCGAAATATAACAAAAGCAGTTGGGTAATAAATAACTTATGGGACGCTTTCGGTGGGTTGTGTAACTGAGTATTTTTACGAGTTGTTCTGGCACTACTCGTATGTAAAAATAATTCGTGATACTACACACCAAAACGTCTGAAAATAAAGTACATACTAAACCATTACTACCACCGCGGAGTAATGGGCTAAATGTAACATTTCTACCCTTACCTTCGATGTTAATATGTGTTCCACAGTAATTTGCTTCCACACAGCGTTACGACAGTCAACCTACGAAGGACGCCATCTTACAGACGCAGCCTCGTTCCCGGGTTTGTCTCTATCGTTTCCAAAAAGGAGGAAGAGACGACACTGGGAACGAGCTTTGCAAATTGAGCAACTTGTGGCATTTAGAGCAACATTTTGAGCAACATATAGCTTTAAGATACATATCAAGCACGAAAAAGTCAACGATTTCAAAGAAAACTTCAATTTATGCAAATTTCTTGAATTAATGACTGTTTGTATGAAAATCATATATGTGAACTACGGTCTAGGAAATGAGTATGAAGGCGATCTTCGCAGTAATAAACACTACAGAGTATCATTTAGACCGTAGGGGAAAATTTACACCGCCATCAAGGTAAAAAAACCCTTTAAACCTTAGTGATCTTGGCATGTAGCAAGTTTTATCTGGTCAAGTGATGTTTAAGCTGAGTGAGGGCCTGTTTATATGGAGGTGGGAGACCACAGTCCGGTGAGGTAACCCGCCTAGTTGTGGTCGAAAAATAGCCTTCACAACTGCACGGCTTCAAAGGTGACATGTGGCTCGGCCAATGTTACGTTATGGCGACGCTTACGCATTACAATGATGACAGCCACGCAAACAATGGCGATAGCCTCGACTCCACCAACCACTCCGACTGCGACAGCGTAGACAGGGACAGACGAGTCTTTGCCTTCATTAACTATGGTGTCTGCAGCTGATAATACAACATGATAGAAGATGATATAATAATTAATTTTAAGTTGAAGTTGCAGTCATGAAAAACTGCATTCACCTGTGTATTAGGCTGAAAGACAAGCCGCTGTTCGGGAAATGAGCCGGCACTCCTCATCCTCTCTGAGGAGGATTGAGGCCAGGACCACAGAAAACGGTGAAAATCAAATCAGTTTTCTTCTTGGTTTTACTGGAAAGGTTACACTGGGGAGTACAATAGAACTCTGCATTTGGATTGTAACTCGAGCTGTGATGAAAAATGACTGAAAGATTGTTTCAAGGGGGATAACTTTGGGCTTTGGTTCTATCTTATGTTATGGCAATAAAATTTCTAATGGACTCAAAATTTCATGGGGAGCAACGGATTATTAGGAACTTAGCTTGCATGCAGTTAAAAGAAGTGATTATCAAAAATAACTTAACAGATATACAAACCGTTTTCGTCATTTTTGAGGTCTGCAAATATGAACGGACCAGCCCTTATATAGTATTCCGCTGCCACGCTATGCTCAATAGTCTGACGTCTCCTCCATGATTCACCTGCACATAGAGCGCACTGCTGCTCACAGGTACTTGTGGTTCCCGCTTCCTTCACACAAACCTGAGCCGTGACGTGAAAATAAACCTGACCAGAATCTTGACCGGCAAATGGTAAGCCTCGAAATAGAATTCATCCGTTTCATTATTTGCACATTCAGGGTTTCTCACCATATCCCTTAGCTAACAGCTAAGTACAAAGAAAGAACACCTCTCATGAGGGATCTTCAATTTGAATTTAAAATTGCAGTTAATCTCAGGAGCCTAATGCCCTATCTTACTTCAAGTGCTGATCCCGTTTTTCATGGCAAGAAATGACATGTCCTGACCTCGAGCTTAATGTTTTCCAGTCCGGCTCTCCTACTCAGTCAGTAAGTACATACATATGATTACAAACCGAATTGGAATTCACGCAGTCCAATCACCATAACAACTGATCGCCAAATAGTGAAAAAAGTGTTCAATTCCTTTACCCGTTTGAGATGACAAGGACGGCAGTGTTGCCTCCGGCCTGACTGTTAATGTCCGTCCTGTCCTCTTTAAAATGAACGTCAAACTGCTTGGAGGGAAAACCGCTCTCTGACACAGTCAACCGTCCATAGAGCTTTTCCTTGAAGGTAATGGCTGTGTTTTAGTCAACTGGTAGGCCGTTTGTAGAATAATACATTGTGAAGGTAAAAAGCAACATGCCAGTGGCTGAAAAAAAAATTACGGTGTTAAAGAACGTTACGCTGACCTACTACCTTAGTTACGTCTTCTAACAAAGAGACCACCAAGAGATTCAGCAGCAAACTCCCGTTAAGTTTTGAAATTTTAACTTTTATAACGTTTAATTCTTTATTTATATGGGCATATTCTTGAATTATAGAGACCTTTTCAAACTACCTTTTTTAACGTCTGAAACGGATTTTTATCCAACGTATAGGACATTTTACAGCGAAAAAAGAGAAAACTGGCCTGAATCCCAGTTTTCTCTTTGTTGTACAAACACTTGATGGTACAAAGGTGATCATATTTATATGTCACGTCAGAGCCAGTTGGTTCGGCGTCGATTTCAAACTCGTATACCAAATAATCATTCTGGGAAACAGTCTCCTCGGTGAGGCTTTTCATACAAACGTTTGCTTGAAATGGTCCGTTATGCACTCTGTTTAATACTTGTGCAAAGGATGGTTTGCAGCTTTCATTGGTGTTAGGTCCTTTCAATCTTAACTCTCATCAAGGAGAGTTAAAATAAAGCGAATTTAACATACTCTTTTTTCCTTTTTAAATAAGAAGGAAAAAAGAGTTGAAACTGGTCACTTTTCGTATTTATAATTTGGTGAATTATGAAAATGGTTTTTGAAATGGGTGGAAGTTTCTGAAAAGAACTGCGGTGTTGCGTTGGTAGGGGTATCAACTGAGTTGATAATGTAAATTGACCACCGTTGAGAGCTTCTACCGGCGTAGGAGGTTGACAGTAAGGAGAATTACCCATTTGATCTGTGAGTTAAAGGATTAACAGCGTTTCAGGTATCCTGTGTGATCAAATTACCAAACAGACGTACTGCAACGTAGAATATATTTGTTAAATAAATATTTTTAAAGATACCCTGACGCACGCGCTGAGAACCAGAACACTGATCATGAAATGAACCATATCCAACTTGATCCACGATCTTTGTTGATCCTCAGGCGTTGCTCTCTCGCACTCTTGAAATGTCTAGTGACAGACTTCAAAATGTGCGAGATATTCATTCAGAAGACTTGGCCAATTTTCAACTGCAATCCTGTAAAACTTATGTCAAAATACTTTTAAAATCTTTATTCAACTTAGGTCAATATCTGGTGGGGAAGCAATTAGATTTCGGGGCGACGGAACTTCATCGAGGGCGAGGGAATTTGGGGTGACCGTGCATGGGGGCGATGTCACATGTTACCGAAACGATACGGTAAGGACTTCATGGTACGACCACGCCGCAGATCTGTTTCTCCAGATCTGCTAACTGAGCTGAGTGTATTTCGGGATCGTTTCCTGCCATATTCAGCGCTCTTTCTTTGAACCTTTGAACCTGAGATACCTTACTTCACAAATAGATTTGACGACGGTGAGCAATGGATTAAGGTGAATTGAAACAACTTCAAATAAATGTACAGTGCAAGTGTAGTGAGGTAATTGCTCTAAACCTAAATGTCGAGTTTTACTGATTACAGCGAGAGGTACTGCGAGGATACGGTAACTGTAGCCTGCAATGCAGGCGTCTTACATGGGCGAGTTAACATCACAAGCTCGTGATCATTTATTCGACCTTTCATGTTTAATTTAGAGTAAAGAGGAAGATGTGGGGAGGGGCAGGTGCCACCCGTCCCCTCTCCTTACTTTTGCCTATCGCTCACCCCCTTGGTACAAATTTCTTTCCCTCCCCAACATTCCGCTGCAGTAAAAAATCAAAGATGTTGGATATAATTTTAACCAAGGAAATACTGAGCACTCACTCGCCACGCACTAGTCTCCAGGCTACGGTAACTAAAGATTTGATTCAAACTATCGAAACTTACAGCGCTTACAAAAAAAACAAAAAAAAAAAATCCACATTTCTTTTCTTCTGGTTCATCCCATTACTTTAATGGTCCATACTTTATGAAAATGGTACATAACTTTTGAAAGTCAGAGGCCACAAGCACAAGCACAAGCACAAGCACCTGTTATTTGTTCCTGATCGATGTTGACACGGGGATATTTTCCGTTGATACAAAAGACCAAATATTTCAGGACGTTTTTGAGGACACTTACGCAACACAATTAACTCGCCTCAGTCTTTTCGTTAAAACATGTTATAAAATAAAAATTAATACGGAAAGATTTAAAGAACGATTAAAGTAGGCCCGTGAAAGATAAACTAAGTACTTTATGACTTTATTTGTGAAACAATTTTTGGTTCTTGGAGTGCACTCAAGTATTCGTGTCAAAGGAAAACGAAAAAATTTCTGTTAATAAATATTCCCATTTATTATTGAAACTACTTTTTGATATACTGTCGATGGCGGGCAATTCAGGGCTGCATTTCCGATCTAGTTTTGAAACATGTGAACGAGATTCTAACAGTGCGTTAGAAACCACTACAGGTTACAAAAATTCATACATTGAAAACGTAAAGAAGGATTTCTTTTCGTTGCTTAAATAAAAAACTTTTCAGAGCTTATTTATTTAAAATTTATCTTAATTATTTGATGCTTGTGAACGAGATTCGGATGATGTCAGTGTCTGAGCAACGCGCACCTACCCCTCCCCTAACAAATCATTAACCCCAGATTGTTTGCAATTGACGGTTGTTAGGTTAGGGGAGGGGTAGGTGCGCAGTTGTTCACACTGATCCCGAGATACAAATAATGCATCAGCAACCTCTACTGGTTACACAAAATCATACGTTAAAACCGTATGAATTCCGATAAAGGATCGATCGCTTTAGTTGTAACTTCAGTAAACACAATAAGACAAAACTCAGGCATTGATTTCCCATCAAGGTTGTTTTGGAACAGACCTAGCAATTCTCTATAGACAGACATCAATGGACTATTAAATGTTAACGAGGTATTCCCATTTCGACATGACCAAAGTATCCTACAGGAGGTAAATAACAAGGCAAATAAGTTCCATAGGGCTGTACTGAAGCTATGTAACTTTACGTCAGGTACAAATCTTCAGATAAAGGTCCATTCACGAACCCGCATATAATCTGTGCTAACTAACATAGGTTTGTGATTGTTTCATTTGATAATATTGACCTAGAAGCGTCTATTTAATTTTTTAGCGTTATTACTTTTTAAAGTTACTTCTTAGCAACTTTCTTTTTTAGTTCTTCCTTATATGACAGAATATCGCCTTTCCATGGTGCTATTGTCTGTTTCTCACAAATCCAAATTTCTTTTGCAACCTAAAGAGAAAGGAAATTATCATTTAAACTACAACAAAGTTGCAAAGATTACTTACTTAAGAATCTTTTGTACTACAACACTTTTTACTTCGACACAGCGATAAAATCTTAACATATTTTCCCTACTAAAACACGAGCTCCATGCCAAAACTTCTTCACTCTCACAAAGTAAACTTCATTAATAACTGCGCTTTTCAATGGAGTGTCATAAAACCTAAACCGAGGTTACCTCAGAGGCCAATCAGAACAAAAAGTAAATATATCACAAAGAACTTGAAGCGCGGGAAAACGCGTATGGCCGAGTCGCAGTTGAGTCACAGTGCGAAATGAAGTAAACCAATAAAATCCTGAATAACTCTGGACTTTCACGAAAAAAGATTATATTCAAACCTGATTAATGAGTCGGAAGTCGTGACTAACAAGCACCATTCCTCCTTCAAAGTCGTTGATAGCGTCTGCCAAAGCGTCGATGGTTTCCATGTCCAAGTGATTAGTGGGTTCATCAAGTAACAGGAGATGTGGAGCTTGGAAGGCCAGCCAAGCAAACACAACTCGGCATCGCTGCCCATCAGATAAATTACGCATGGGACAAATCTGTGTTTTGATTGGAGATAAAATTTCATCAATAAATTTTTTTTTAACAGTGTGTACAGTGTAAGGCGGATCTTTTAGTTAAGCTTCTCCTCTAGTCTTACATATTCCTACTTTCAACACTCTAAATTAAAAATTGTGAAATTGTGAATACCAGTCCATGCTGCCATTTGTCCGTTCAGTATCATAGATCACACATGACGTCAAAATGCAGTGAGCAAAAAAAAATTTCGCACACGAGCCATAGCCGAGTATGTCACTGATTTGGAACTTCTGAAATCTTTCAGTGAACAGACCTACGTCTGTCCTCTAAAACATTATAACGAAGTACCTATCAAAATACGTGTGCGATGCAGCTTACATAAAAATTGCTTTCTCCTAGTAATTTTAATCTGATGATTTTTATACTCGTATTCTCAAGAGTTTAGGTGACCAAGACTTGATACTACAATAAAGTTTCTTATCCTAAGTTTCATATGTTATACAAAGAAGCTTTAAGGTGGTGGCAATATAAACATCGTGTTTAGCGACCTGTTGTTTTCCTGTCAGTCCATATCTTCCTATTGACTTTCGCATGTCCTCTACCTCTTTGATTTCAGGAAAGCATTTCATCATGAATGCAAGAGCTGACATGTCCAGTTCTAACATGTCTTGAAGATGCTGCAAAGAACAAGGCAAACTTCAGAATTAATCATGCAACACAGTAACAAACACAAACCTCTTTTGAAGTACATGAGCATTTTTTGTCACAATAGGCTTAATAAGGAATGTGACATCAGCTAAAATCAAGACACAGCTGTAATTAATCATAATTCTTCAAACCTGATGATAGCGGCAAATCTTCAGGTGATTATGCCTTCGTATAAGCCCATCAGTAGGTGTCAGTGTTCCATCAAGTAGCTTCAGCAGTGTGGACTTGCCAGCTCCATTGGGACCCACCAGAGCTATTCTGGACTCTAAGTCAATTCCAAAATCCAACTTCTTGTAAATGGCAGGCTGAAAATAAAATTAAAAAAATATATCTGTAAATGGCAGGAATGAAATGCACTCAGTAATAGTGACTGAGGTTTGGACAACCTCAGCGGAAATCACCATCACCAAAAAGGCACTGGTAAAGACTTTTGATTGGGTGATTGTGGGATCAAGCAAATGCAATCATAACAGTGTGATGTTTTCTAGGAGCAATTTCAGTTTCTCTTTCAACATACAGTAGTGTTACAATGTCCGCAGTACACCTCACCTTATCTTCTCCATAGCTGAAGCTCATTGTTTGTACTTGAACAACTGGTGGGGCAAGTTTTCCACAATCAGGAAAATAAAATGTCAGGACCTGTTGGTTGAGAGAAAAATCAATTATCAATTAGGGGATTATAAGTTGATCCAATACCAAATTCTCCAAACTAACATCACAAAAACTGTATGACAGACAGTAAGGAGAGTTACTAATGAAATCTTGGGAGTTAGAGGTTAACAGTATGTGTAAAGCTAGTAAATTTGGAAGTGGTCCTATAAAATTGTCATGAATACCTAATACTCACTTGGAAAGTGTAAATCAGTACTAACTACAGTTAACTGTTGTTGTCGTAACAATTTCATCTCAATTTGTGTCTTGTATATGAGTGCAATGGTAAATGAAGAGCAAAGTACTGTATGGTGCTGCAGGCTTAATTCTTTACCTTGTCTTTGACAACTTTTTCTGTGAGGCCACCTGCCACCATTTTGCTAAGGACCTTTTCTTTGCTTTGAGCCTGTCTGGCAAGCTTAGCACTACCGTGACCAAACCTGGCAATGTAGTCCTACAATCATAAAAAGAAAAACAAATGAACTATAGCAGTCACTAGCATGGTTTACTGGTCATTATAATGACAAGTCACATATTCTTGTACAAGCAGTACTAATGAAAGAAAGAAATAATTTTTTGAACCATTTCTGGCTAGCCATGCATTTTGGAGAGGGTATCAGAGCTTGATAGGGTAGCTGGAGGTTGATGAATTTTTAACTCCCATGAGTGACCAAGACAGAATTTCTCCTTACAACACCAATACAATATCAACCAAACAAGTGATGAGAGTTAAGAAAACTATCAATTTGGGGATAATTAGTTGATCCAATAATAAATTCTCTGAACTAACATTATTATAAGAATTGTATGGTTGATAGTAAGGAGAATAACAAATTTGATGTGGGAGTTAAAGGGTTAAAAGTTAATTCATACTTTATTTGGTTAACACTTTCACTCCCATAAGTGACCAAGACAGAATTTCTCCTTACAATATCAATACAATATCAAGCAGGCAGGTGATGAGAATAGAGAAGAATATCAATTATGGTATTATTAGTTGATCCAATACCAAATTCTCTGAAGTAACATCATAAAAATTGTATGGAAGATAGTATGGAGAATTACTAATTAGATCTTGAGAGTGAAAGGGTTAAAGCTACATTGACAATAATTCACTTTCAGTTTCAAGCCATATAAGTGATGCGGATTGACTACAAACAAGACACTTGCCTAAAAAGTCTATTTTTTAGAAACTGCTTAACCCCTATACACCCTGACACCAGTATGCATATTCTCCAAACTGTTCTCTACAAACATTTCCTGTGCTTCTGAAAATAATATTTGCTTAACAATCAAGAGCTTCTTGAGTTTGTGACAATTTCCTTTATTCTTGTGACCTTCTTGTGTGATTCAGGGGTGATATTGTTGGGAGAAATTGCATTCTACTTACTCTTTGCAGTCAAATTGTTAAAATAAAAAATGAACAGTCCTGGATAAAATCAATGTCAATTTTCTAGCTGCAATTTTTGCCTACTTGACTGGAATCTGGCTGGGAAGTCAGCTGTTTTAGTAAATCGCTTCAGGCGTTGTGTCCATCACAGCATCCCAGTAGAACTGAGAGCTGTTAAAACTCGGCCTTTTAGGTCATCATCCTTCCACAGCCAGATACTGCATTGTACAAATGGATCAATGTTGCTAGAGTACTTTTACAAGTTATATTTCACTGATACTGTACATACCTTCATGTGCTTTATTTGATCTTGTTCTCTGCTGTACTGTTTCATTTGGTTTTCCTCCAGTTCTGCTCTTGTTTTCATGTAAGAGTCATAGTTACCCTTTGGAAGAACAGGAAAAAAAAAACTAAGACAGAAACTGCAAGTCTCATACTGCCATTACCCTTAACATTGTTGCTGTATTCATAATAAGTTTGATTAGGAATATTAACTCTTTACAACCTAACATCAGGATTAAAATTCTCCATACTATTCTCTATACATTTGCTAAGGTGCTGACAAGGAGAATTTGTTTAACAATCAAGAGTTTCTTTAGTTGGTGATCATTTACTTTATTCTCATGACGTCCATGTGTGATTCAGTAGTGATATTGAAAGGAGAAATTAGATGTTGGTCACTCCTAGGGGTTAGAGGGTTAAGGTCACACACTAAGAAAATGAAGACAGGAATTAGCCTCCTCGTTTACAACATAAAAACAACATCTACTTCTTTTGCCATAATATCTGTATGAAGTCACAAGAAATCCTCACAGGCAATAAATACAGAACAATAATGTTTTCACTAAAATGTTATCAATGTCATGCCTTCTGACAGAGTGCTTTTCAGTCAAATCAAGTTTTTGCCTTCAGGACTGTACAAGACTCATTTAAGAGAAAGCTCTTTTAGATTTTTGATGAAAGTAACTAAGTTATTTTCATTGAGGAAAGGCCTAGAAGGTGAAAAAAATTCCTGAGATCTCTGATACAAACAGCAAAATGTTATTTTGTAGAATTACTATGAGGAAAATAATCTGCGAGTATTGTGTGGGACTTTACAGATTTCTAAGAATTGTGCAGAATTGTACAGGTTTCACAGACTGTGCCATTCTGCCCTCCATACACTCTAATGAAGGTGCTGTTATAATCTACAATGTAGGATCATTCTTACCCCATAATACACAAGTTTTCCTTTATGCATGTGGATAATGTTAGTGCACACCCCATTGAGGAAGTCCTGTGAATGTGATATCATCACCAATATCCTCTTGTAGCTGCAGGGAATCCAACAAGAAAAGGGATCACCATACACATACTGGTTATTCTGTGCTAAATGTTCTCCATTAAGCTTAATAAAACTATTTCATTTGACTGCCTTTTTTTAAGTTGATGTTTTATCTTTAAGAAACTTAATAAATCATATTTTAAAAAAGGAATTGGGGTTTTTCTCATGTATATGTAAAATCATCTGGAAACAGAGGACTTTCTTGTTAATGTGTATTTAACAAATACATATAGACCCTGTGTTGCCATGCGTCTGTTCAGTAATAGATCAAAGATGACATTAAAATAGGGTAAGAACAAGAAAGTGGCATATGAAGTGTAACCAAGTGTGTCATTGATGTTCTTACCACAAGTCATATTGACTTCTTCTGTGATCTGTTGTAGCACAGACCCAAAGCAACATAAAATCTATTTGTTAACCAGAGAGAAGGAAAATATCCCAGCAAGCTTGAAGAGCCATAAAACTCACCTCTTCAGCTCTTCTTCCAGCCATACACATGCATCCAAATCCAGGTGGTTTGTAGGCTCATCCAACAAAAGAAGAGTTGGCTTTACAAACAGAGCTCGTGCCAAAGCGATTCTCATCCTCCAGCCTCCAGAGAAATCTTTTGTCTTTTTCAGCTGCATGGAAGGTGTAAATCCTAACCCACTAAGAATTTCAGCAGCCCTAGTTTCTGCCTTGTCCGCATCAAGGTCTTCAAGTCGTTCAAAGACATCCATTAATCTAGATGAAAGAATATTTCTGGCTTATTTCTCTTACTTATTCAAAGCAAAATAATGTTCTGTGGAGACCATACATAATTTCAAGCACCTATGGTGTTGCACAATTTATACTGCATTTTTACATACCAGCAAATCAATTTTTAAATGAAGATGATGAATTGCCTTGTCACCAGCAGGGAACAAAAAAAAATATCTTCAACAGGTATTGAAGCCCAGATCTTGGCTATTTAAAACCTTAAAGAAAACCCTGTAGTGTACATAAATGTATGCATATAGATGAGGCATATATGTCAGTGTCATTCATTTGTATATAGTGTACCTTTAAATGTACCTTGACTGGCATTATGTTCCATAACAAGGGAGATCCCAATGTAAAAGTGCAGTGAGAGTATAATTATGATGCAAAATCTCTTTCCTGTGAAAACAACACAGACCCCAACAAACCAAGGTTTCACATCTGGCCTTTCAATCTTAGAACATGGGTATATCTTAGTTGGGTGATTAGGAAGGCATCTTACGAAGCAATTAGATTTAGCAACAAAACCATACCTGTCACTACCCTCATCTCCAAGTTTGGTGAGTTCTGCAGCCTCAGCCTCAAGTCTCATCCTCTCCTCATCAACCTCCATGACACACTCAAGAGCTGTCTTGTCAGAGGCTTCCATCTCATTCTTGAGATGAAATATGTCAATATGCTGAGGAATTGGAATGTCTCTGCTCCCTATTGTCTCCAACATGGTGGATTTACCTGTTCAAAATACCAAAATTTTATAGTTATTAATTATCTAACCAATGAAGTATGTTCATTTAGCCCTTAACACCATAACATGAGTGTCTATACTCTACCTACTCCTCTCTATACTGTACATTTACTGCCCTTAGTACTGAGAAAGAGAATTGGTTTAATGATTGAAGCTTCATAGCTTGTTAATCATTTCCTTTATTCTCATGATGTAAATGAATGACTTAAGAGTGTAACTTAAAGGAGAAATTAGATCCTCATCATTCTTAAGATTTAAAGGGTTAATTACACATGTACAAGTAAATTCCGTAAGTTTGTTTATAGCCAAACATAACTTTAAAATGTGCAGAGTTTTTGAGTCACATGAAAATTAAACAGACATTCAAGCATGGTTTTTATTTTACATGATAAATTTCAAAACATAAAAATTTCTAAAGAAAAAGAAAGGCACCTTATAGGCTACATTTTTACTGAAGAATTGTTATAACCATCACATTACTGATCTTCACAAGTGTATCTAGTGATTAATTTTGCACATAAAATATTCATCAGTCCAGAATGTCCTTTCTTGATCTACTGTTACTATCTGGCATTAAGTAACCCAAGAAATCATGTTGGAATGGGAAGTTGTTTCATAGCTCATACTCCTTGCTCAACAAACGATAATTTTTTTTGTATTAGGAATGACCACGAGTTGATTTATTCTGACAAGAAAACATGTATACTCAAGTAAATTGTAAATATTTGTATTCCACTTCATAAGAAAAGTTTAACAGTCCATAACTTTAGTGCAAATGAGGTAAAAATGATGGTAATCACACATTATTGTTGGCCATATGACTCGAAGAAAAAAAAAATATCCCGCTAATTTTTTTTTTTACCTCATACTGGAAGTGTTGTTTCATCAATCTCTCCAATTCAAAGTATTTCTTGATACCAAAATTGGTTCCAAATATCATTAGAAAAAAGCATTTAAAAGGGGTAGATTTTTCTGTCAATGACTTGAGTTTCTGCGTAATATCCTAGTAAGGAATTGATATCTTCTTGAATACTTCCGTTCCGATTTGAAACATTCGTCTCGATCAATTCACTGAAAAATTGTTATATATGGGTCTGATCCTTATATTTTATTTCACCGCAACGAAAAGAGTTATTCAAATCAATTGATATTTCTTTGAAATGAGTGATTTTATTCAGAAAGAATACTTTAAACTTAGTAAAACTAAAGGAACCAATATATATATATTTTCAAAGGAACATGAAGAACCTACCGCATCCATTTAATCCCAATAAACCGTATCTTCGGCCACAATTCAATTCAAGTTTTGTATCAGTTAAAAGTTCAACACCATGGAAAGTAATTGAGAAATTTTCAATCTTCACATCCCGCGACTGTTCGTGAGATGCCAAAACGCCGGTACATGAGCGGTTCGATAAATCCAACTTCACACCAGCGCCATTTTCAGTTCCGTTCGAACTTTCAACACCGTTTTCTGTCGCTTGGACGGCCGGTTTTGGCTTTCCTCTAGACTGAGCAGCAGCTTTTTTCTTTGCTTGACGTTTCTTCGCCGCTTCGGAAGGCATATTTGTGTGTTTCGATTAAGGATTATTGAAGGAAAATTCAGTTATTAGTTCACACGAGTGCAAACAAAAATTCTTCACGATTGCGCCATAGGAGAACATGTGCATTGTAACATTGTTTCCAGCTCCTCTCAAAGTTCTCTGGACGAAAAAGTCTGGGTTTGATCCTTAGTTTGCCGCCATGTTTCCATGACTACTTGCTTAAGTTGAGACATTTTCAAAATGGCGGCGGCTCGGACGAGAACCATGGTTTCGGAAAGTTTTGATAGTTTTGTGGCGCCTGTCATTAATAAACCAGTTCCTAATCATCTGTTAGAAACAAGTAAGTGTATCATAAGTTGAAGTGGAGCGATTTAAATCTCCTTTAAGCTACTTTTAAACGGTTTTTTTTGTAAATCTAACCGCCTGCTTCTTTTTGCAGAAATCTATGCAAAAGTTGGACAGAACTCTATTTTGCAAGCCAAACCTTCAGTTATAAATTTTTCCGGCTTCAAAGTTGGTGAAAAAATTACCCGAACACTTGTGAGTACATTTAAATCATAGTCTGGTAAAACAAACGTACAGTTCTAAAATTCCTAATCCCAACATAAAGAGCAATATGCTACAGCCACATTTGTTTACAAGTTTCTATGATCCTAGGGTTTTGTTCTAAAGACGAGGAAATATAATTACTGAAAGTTTAGAGCAATATTTCGGAAAAATTTAGATTAAATTAGATTAGATTTAGATTAGATTAAATGAATTAGATTTAGATTAAATTTAGTGTGGTGCATGCGGTGTGGTTCTTAGTTCATGATAACCCTACTTTTCGTTTGTGTATTGAGTACAACTGTTAGTCACAGCATCACATGACAGGTTATTAATGTGGTTTCACATTTAGCCATACAGCCGTTTTTCAGGTGGACTCACAAACACAGAAAGTATTCACTGTAAAGGCCGAATTGTACATTTTATAAGCTGCGTTAATGTAAAATGAACACCCATAATGTAATATTTGGATGATATTTCGCACATTGGTTACGTGAAATAATCTGGAGGAGGTTGTAAGAGATTTTGGTATACACTGTATTTCATTTTTATATTAATAATAAATCAGTATTTTGTATTATTGTTGAACAGGAAAAGCTTGTGCCTGGAATGTTCATTGAAGTTGTTGTGGAGTTTACACCTGATGATTGGAGATATTATTATGACTGTATTCGAATTCACACAAAGGTAACCATTTTGATTTCCATTCATATTCTTTTATGGCAGAGTTTTGGGTTAACAAATGTTAAATCCTTCCAAGCAGTTTGATGTCCATTTCCTTCTCTTGTCTAGGGATATTCCTTTAATTGAAACTGGTTGACTGTTTAAAAGTAACCAGGAAGAATTTTGAACCATGTCATGAATGATACAGGTTTAACAGCGTTATATGACAGATTTTCTTGAGATTACTAATTTTTCTCAACAGTCATGAAAATATTTTGTGGTATTAACATTATCTTTTACTTATGTACAACTTGTACATGCCTTCAATATATTAACAGTGTCTGGTTTCTGAATTATGTTTGCTGGGCTTTTAGTTTTTATACCTGTAAACTGTTAGTAGTGGATCGTTCTGACCTGAAAAGGGCTCAAGTATAAGGGAAAAAATTGTTAATTGACCCTTAACTCCCAAGATCTCATTAGCAATTCTCCCTACTGTCTGCCAAACGATTCTCATTATGTTAGTTTGGAGAATTTGGCATCGGGTCATTAGCATTATCCTATAATTGATATTTTTCTTTATTCTCATCACTTGTCTACATGATATTGTATAGATATAGAGAGGAGAAATTCTGTCTTGGTCACTCACAAGAGTTAAAGGGTTAAGAAATTATGTTAAAAAAACTATGTTACATGCATGTTGCAGTTAAGTTTTATGAATGGTTAACAATTTTAATTTGGAAAAGTCTAAAATGTTGAATACAAATCTGAAACTATCTTTAGGGTAAAATTGAATCACAAGACATACATTTATAAATTTTTTTTTCTAATTTTCAGGCAGAGGAAAACCTTATTGTTCCTATTCATGCATATCCTGTGATGAGCACTGATGAGTTTCCTAGAGAAGTTCACTTTCCATCTGTACCACTTGGAGAAAAGTGAGTAAAGTACATGAAGCTGATTTAAGTTAAATTCATTTTACTAAAAGAGTAAATGAAATCTTAAGCATGCCAAGCTGTTTCAACTTTGAGTAAGAGTATTACTAACAAAATGTTATTTTTATGTTATTTTCTCACAACATGGAATTTTGTTTCCTTCATTACAGAACAACAAAAGTGATTCCTCTGAAGTGTGACATCCCAGTGGAATTTGAGTTCACGCTGAGTTATGTTCAGTTACACCCAGCATTTACTGTGGAACCAATGTCAGGTAAATTTTTGTTGAAATCACCTGAAGTAATAGCAAGATTATTGATGATAAGATGTAACAGGATTGTACTAGCTAGGAAACATATTTGCAATCACTTGTGATTTCCATATTGCATTTGTTATTCCTCTGTAAATAAAATTTTTGCTAACATCAGTATGTTAAAAGAGATGTACATGTATGCGATAAAAGCCACTCTTCCTATCTGGGTAATCTGTTTTGACACCAGTTAGAACCTAAATTGAAAGGCACTGACTTAAAAATTTTTTTTTTTTTTGAGCAACCAACCAGCTTTCTGTGAACCATACATAGTGGTCCTTACCACTTGATGACTGTTTGGCAGCATTACTGAGTTATTTTCAGAATTTTAATTTTTTTTTATGCAAGGGCTAAAAGTTTATGAAGTCATTAATTTTCATGTATACTTCAATGGATAGGGAAGGATTGGTATGTGGAGCAAACTTTTCCTTCGCTTTGATTCTGACTTGTTCTTGGAAGCCTGGTAATTACATGATTAAATGCTGAGGAAATTCATACTTTTATTTCATGAGGAAATGCTTACAAAGAGTAAAATTTTTACTCTCTTTCAAATTTTCCTTAACTTAAATATGGCAAATAACCAACATGATCAGTAAAAATTTACAAGTCATCAGATGCAGTGAGGGTACCTACAATATTATGATTTAAATGAAAGCCCTACTATTTGGGCACTTGCAGAAATTTAACAGTTGAATAAATCTGTCCTTTAGGAATTGTACCTGGTAATGGTGAGGTAGAGATTAAAGTGACATTTGCACCAATGGACTTCTCAACAGCTCACATGAAGCTTCAGGTAAATTAGCAAAACTTATACCCAGATGCACTTATCATGGTGTTTTTATTATTATTATTATCATTATTATTATAATTATTATTATTAAAAATCGATTTAAAGTTCAAGTAATACAGTGTAGGATCAAATGAAATGTTATCATTCAATTAATGATCATCAGAATTGGAATTTCTCAGTGGATGTATGTGCACTCTATCTTGAACTCTGGCTGTTTTTGAAATTGGAACTGCAAGATTTCCTCATATTTTAGAGAAAGATGTCAGTAGACTTAAAGAAAATGCAGCCTCTTTGTGTCAAAGAGCTTCTCTGTGTTAAATGGAATTTTAATTGTAAATCCTTCTTTGCTTTTAGCTGAAGGTGTCTCAATTCAACATGTCTCCACTTGTCTGTTCCTTCACGGGAACATCAGAGCCAGGACTTGCAAAAAGGTAATGCTAGTATAAAAAAAATGCTGCAGCAGTGGATTCCCTGCCGAGAGATTATATCTTGTACATGTAACTTTTTCTCCTATAAAGGCTACTTTTAATTGTGGTTTGTAGTTGTTTTGGCTTTCTTCTCAGAGGCTCTCCAGCTTATATCCCATCATTGCACATAAACTTAGTGAATCTTTGGATTGAAGAGAGGTCCTGTAACCCTTTTCACACCCAGGATCGATCATATACAATTTTTTAAGCATAAAGGCAAAGAGAAGAAAGAAAAATGTCAACTACAGCAAGAGAGATTGTTTGATTTCACAACAGATTCTCTGAGCTAAGATTCTGAGAAATGAATCGCAGACATTGCACTGAATGGATAATTAGATCTTGGGAATGAGAAGTGTTAAGGGCTATGACTCATTTCAGAATTTCTGTGTGCTGTGCTTATCATGAAACAGGTTGAAAGTAAAAGCATGGACAGAAGAACTACCCCCATTACCCACCAATGGAATCCTGGACCCATTACTGATTGATCCTCTCGGCAGAACAAGACTGAAGAAACTTAAGACCAGACCATGGACTCCAGGAGAGAAGAAACCCCAGGTAGGTGCTGGAAATCAAGAAAATAGCCACCTACATTGTGTGAAAAATTTTTGCCGTTCAAAAATGTTTGGAAATTTTGTAGGTCAATTTCTGGGAAGTAGGATAAGGGGTTTGAAGTTATTTATTTTTTTTTTTTAGTGGGGGATGGCTGTGTTGGGTAGAAGGTGTTCCTTTTATCTTTTAAGGCAGGCATAGTATTAAAAGGAAAAGGAAGAGTTTAAGCCTTTTTCACTTGTTCACAAGGTGTATGTCAGGCTTTGAAGAGTTTCAATGTGTGAATTCCAAATGTGTACGTGTGTTGAAAGCAGAGCTTGGCCACTGTATTTCTGCTTCCAACTTTGAATGAATGTTTGCAGTCTACCGGCAGCATGCAACAGATGTGTAGGAAAAAAAACATTCTTCTGAAGAATCTTATGTAGAGAAAATAATGTTATGAAAGTATTCAATGAACATTGTTTACCGTATCATTTTTTGGTTTTGTACAGGAACTGGTCAGAGATGGCTTGAGATTTCCAACTACTGGTCTTGACAATCCATCCACTGTGTCCAGTATCCTTCTACAACAACCTGGAAAGCTGAAGGCCAAGCAGATAAGAGAAGGTTGGTGACTTGATGTAATTCAAACCAACTGACCATGTATTAACGAATGTAGCAGAGTTTGATTACTCCCAGGTAATTCTGTTGATGTCTTTTTCTCCTTTTAAGCTGTTCAAAGTAAGAAAGATGTTTCAGGGAGCACAAAACAGATGAAAGTAAGTTGAGTTAGAGCAAATCATGTAAAAAATATTCCTTACAGACTTCCATAACTTAGCCTGTTCTGCAGGCGAACGACAGCATTAATTACTGTCATGCAGTTGTATATGGTTTACGAATTTTTGCATCATTTCCCTATGCACAGGAAACAAAGTTTGAGTACGAAGTTCATCAGAATATTCAAGAGGAACGACAGAACCAGCTCAGATGGTATGTACAGTCAGAACATCCATGTATGAATCTTGTAACAAAGTCCTTTGTAAACCTTACAGCCATGTGCGAAGGCTAATATCATGGAATAGAATAGCTAAGATCATCTATGGCCGGGAGACTTCCGACATTGACACCTGGCTGTTCACATACTGTAGTGTATGTGTGGTGTTTGAGTAACGAGTAGGATCAGGGTTTATTGACGTTTATTTGCCTGTGAAGTAGTCTTTTCCAGGAGTCGTGTGAAGGTTGAGGATTATTACGATTTTGTGCTCCTTTTTACTTCATGCTTTCTCGTGACTTACTCTGATATTGTTTCTACCGCTTAGCCAAAAAGAAACGGAAAATTTTACTGCGCACGCTGAAAGTAGTATGTTCACCTCCTTTGATCTCTCTTCGTACTGTGGAAAAAAACTGGATGTATCTCGCTCTCATTTTCTTTAATGTTGTGCTGAGTTAACAACGATGATGCCATTTTAAAGGTGAATCCTTACCTGGAGGATATACTTTGCATCAGAAAATTTAGACCACTCTGTTCGTTTCCCTCAAGGTGTGTACGATTAGGTGAAGATCCCATATCAGAGGCAACAAGAAAACAGATTTGTGAAACAAGGATAGAAGATGAAAGAGAGTACAAGGTATTTGTAACGGTGGTCTGTTACTGGAAATTATTTTTCGCTTTCATTCTGGTCCAGGAGATGTCTTTGGAGCGAACAGTAGCACTAGAAATGGAGTACTTCCCATTCTCTCACTGATGATTTACGAAGAATATTATATTTTACAGTTCGATAAAGGTTCAACAAACAAAGATTCAATTGTAGAAACAAATAATTCAGACCCTCGACCTTCTCTTGCACTCACATCAAACGAGGTGATATGATGAGATCTTGCACTGGACCGCTTTTCCCTGAGGAAAGCTCATGTTCTTTCTGGGTCCAAAACCATAGTTAAAATCCAAATCTAAAAAAGAGAATTGCGAGTCTTAGCTCAAAAATCAGACGATACTGTTTCGTTTCATTAGATTGGATTTTTCAAATTTCGAAGCCATCTAGACCTAGATCTTGATTGTAAGCCATGGTAATCAAAAGTCAGCTCTTTAGGAGCAGTAACCACCGGGAGTTTTGAGAAGCGCCTCTCAGTTCTGCAAATGGTTGTAGGAAATGGCTTGTATTGGTCCAAGATACGGTTAGTATTAGGAGAACTTATAGTTTCGAGGAGGTACCCCTTCCCCCTCCTCTTTGGTAGTTTGTGTGACTTCACGTTTACATTTTCCGTTTATAAATTTATCAAAGCTGAATCGAGGAGACCCAGTGATTGAAGAAGAGTATGACCGGTCTTGTGTTGGATGTGAACTGAGAAGAATCCACAGACAAGCGGATGAAGTATGTATCACTTTTTGGGGAATGTACATGTTACTTTAACTTTTGTCCTCTGGCGAACTGTTTTGCTTGCTTTCCTATATTTGATGGGGCTAGTTTTTAGCTAGTACTAGGCACTTGGTCATAGGATACGGCCGAACTAGCGACGTTTGTTTGGGAAGGAAAAAAGGAGAGCTTTTAAAAGCATCGTTCACAATTGCTCAGAATGGGGTATTTTTTCACACTGTGATGCTTAGTAGTTACCTTAGATTTATCTTCGTCATGGTGCAAAGCACTATAATCTTGGTGCGCTGAAGTGTTATTTTCTTTATTGTCGTGTAAGCTTTAACATTTGCTGTCCAGATGAACATGGTTGGAAATATTACTCTTCTACTCTCAGATCCCTCAAAATGAACCTCGGTTTGATCTTCTTGTTAATGACGAGTGGAGCAAGAGGCACATGGTTGTACAGAAGTTTGTTCAAGCGGGACGAAAGGTAATCATCAGTGTACGCTTTATTTGTATAACTGACTGGCCTGTTTCAGGCGTTTAGTTAGTAAAACGAAGCGCGTTAGTGAACAGCACTACAACAGCGGAGGAGTGGAAACGAGGGACCTTCTCGCTTTTTCACTGCACTTCTCCGCTATTGTCGCACCGTTTGCTTTTCGCTCTGTTGTAGTAACTGAGCACCTGCAACAGGCTAGTAATCAGTGAACTCTTAGGAAACATTTATGTATAATAATGAGATGTTGGCGCAGTATTGTGATTGAACCTTTTGGAATTCCTTTGAAGCCCTGTATTTTCTCAGGCCTTTTTTCCAGCAGGTACTTTAAGTGAAGTGTCACTGGGAAAGAGTTTTCTTCGCTTAGAAGTAGCTTTAAATTAAGTTAAATAATGCGATCTTCAGAGCGTGTTCTCGTCTTTATTCCTCTGCCAGAGGATATGGTCAAGTTAATGTGTCCCCACGGATGCAATGTGCCCTGATGATAATTTTTCTCTTTTTGCTGCTACACGTTGCGCACGATTTATCTTAATTCTCGCGCGCGCTCGAGCTTTATTTATCATTATGACGTCCGACGTCATACTTGTGGCGTACTCATGTGGTTGATGTTTGCCCCATTTAGTTTCACATTTGCGAATTTCTTCTCAGTAATTCCTTTAACTGTACTCTGCTTTTTTTTTTCTAGGTCATAGTACGACTAAGAGCCAGTAGACACTTAAGTTCCCTGGAAGAATTTGTCACAGACTGGAGAAAAGGAAAATTCACCCGAGAACACACAAGTAAGGAAAACCTCTCGGATAAATTTTTCTTTTGTAGTCATGCGACACATGTAGTCACGGCAGAAGTTCTTTCATTAATAATTTTCCGTACTGAACCCTCTCAGGTGAAGTAATTATTAACAAAAAATGGCAGAAAGATAAGGCCACAAAGAAATTCAGACTCTTGACGGTTTCGAACCTGTGCTTCCCACATTCCAGTTGGCGCTACTTCTAAATGAATTGAAATTGCAGAGTCATAATTTTATTTTCTATGCGTGCGAACAGGCTGGAAGTGTTCACGGGTAAAATTCCTAAAACTGTTTTTATTTTGTTTCATTGCTTCTTAGGAAGTCAACTTGCAGAGAGTGAAGAAGAAAAGCTGTTCGATGAAGTTGAGGTTCCTCTGCGGATCTCGTCTGAAGGCATTTTTCCCTTTTGCTTTCCTTCATATAAATCTCCGGACACAAAAGATGATATGGTACACATGCTTAATATTTCTGGATCTGACCTTGCCCTTGATAGCCGCAGCTTAAGGGTTTTAGTTGTGTGTGTGTGTGTGTGTGTGTGTGTGTGTGTGGGGGGGGGGGGGGGGTATTTTAGGCTTATTATTACGGTGACGGTGTGCTTAGGTAGTCATTATCAGTCAAGTATGATTTCAGGAAAGTAATAGAAGGGATAAGACGCCCCGATGGCTCATCCCGCCGGAGTTTTTGCCGGTTTTAAAAGCATAAGAGACCAAAGGTATTGTTACTCCACTCTGGACGGGATTCTTGTCGATCTTTAGTAGTTCCCGCCCCTGCCTCCCTTTCGTGGTTCACCAGCACCCATTATACTCTTGGACCGGGTTGTTCAAAGCTGAGGCAAGATAATTTAGGGTTAGTGTGAAGTCTGATTTTCGGTCTGAAAGCTTTGAAAGAAAATTCAACCCGATTCTGTTTGTCTACATTCTAATGATTAGTATGCTTTAGAAAGAAAATGGAAAATTATTACAATAAAGGCTTTTGAGCAAAGGAATAATGAAAGCAGGATTAACATTGACCCTGGGTTTTCGCTTATTGGTCTTCGAAAAACTGGGCCCTGGGTGGAAAGAGGCGCTTCGAGGATAAAGTTTCGTGATGCTGATAGGTACCTGCCCCTAGTTCCCCGCCTGTGCTTGAACCAGGACCTCTCGTACTAACCACAAAGCCACGGTGTCTTTACAAATGAATGGATGAATGGTTTAGTTAAAGTTTGATTTATTCCCTCAGGATGTTGATGCTCTTGGTACACTGAATGTGCAAGCGACTTTTGTCAATGTCAAAACACACGTGCCTTATTACAACTTAAAGGTACGTTTCTTAGCTGTTTTTGTCTATCTACAGTTTCTAATCACACTGTTAAAAATGAAATATTACATACAGTTACTGAATGGGGTTTTTGTGATATCCAGAATAATCAAGGTCGAGGTTGGGGTTATCAGCCGAAGCCGAAGGCTGACAACCCTTATCTTTTGGGTTTGAATCTGATTGGTTCGACAGGTCGGGCGAGTTTTTAGACCAATTACGAGCGAAATTACTATTTTATGTACGTTTAATAAGGTGCTGACAAGGAGAATTTGTCTAACAATCAAGAGTTTCTTTACTTGGTGATCATCCCCCTTTGTTCTCATGACATCAATGTGTGATTCAGTGGTGATATTCTAAGAAGAAATTAGATGTTAGTTACTCTTAAGGGTTTAAGGATTAAAGGGAGGGAGTTCTCTCTGTGGATCTGTCTGTTGTGTATTGTCTAAAGCTTAATTCGTCTCTAGGTCCCCAAACAGTGTGACATCCTGGGTTATAACCGTCACTCCGTAGCCGACGCGTCCTCGGGGTATGTCCCGCCAAAGCTCGTACGTCCCTTGAGGGTTGGCGCCGAGGTAACGTCAAGTTTGTTTTGCACAGTTATTTTTTTACTTGCGTACAATAAGTTTATCTCAAGATAATCCAACATTTTACTCAATGTAAATACTTACTTTAAAACGTGTTTCGTACATGCGTGCAGATACAACGTACAGTACCTTACTGAGTACCTTACTCAGTTAGTAGAACTTTGCTCCGTTATCGTAGAGGTCATGGGTTCAAATCAATATAATATAACTGTATTATCTTGGTTCAAATCCCGTACAGGCCTGAATTTTTTTTCAGGCCTTATTGTCACTACTGATTAAGTAGTGTTCAATACTGCGACGATCGCTTTCATATTCAAATGCTGTGGGAGTTGTATGTGTATCGCAAGTAATTTCTAGTCAGATGAGTGCCTCTAGAAGTTGTTTAATTTTTTAAGTCAAATATATTTGTATACACCTAGCATCTCTTTGTTCAAATGTGGTTTCTAGCAATGAGATTGCAGTGGATAGAGCTGGTTGATCCATTGATTGGAACTTGATTCCTCATCATAATTCGTTGTAACTGCATTGAAGCGATTCTTATGAGTTTTTCCTATTCTTTTCCATCTATCTTACCGCCAAGTCCTTTCGTTTGTCAACTTGTTTCCTGTAGGATGAAATAATAAACTTAGTCAGCAGTGTACCGCTTACGTCGGTTAGAAGTCCCAGTCCCGTCCCGACCACGGAAGGAGGCGAGGAAACTAAAGAAGAGGGCGAAGAAGACAAAACACAGAATCCACAAGTAAAGAGCCCCATTATCACAACCCCACAAGAGGACGTAGCCGTGCAGGAGCCTGAGGCGGTGCCCCTCGTGGTGCCTGCTGCGTTGTTCAGACCCACATCTTACCATCCCATGCATATTTTTGTAAGTTACAGAAGATTTTCACCACTTTACTCCCGCGAATGTTTAATAATAAATTCCTCCTTGCAATTACTCTAGTAGACTGTCAGACGGATCGGTTGCGAGAATCAAGAAAATCAGCAGTTGCTGTATTTTGTTTTTGTAATGAATAGTGACCATAAGGTCATTTCTCCTTGCCAAGTCAATACACTGTCAATCAGACTGCTGATGAGAACTATCGACGATGAAAGGGTGTCTTGATCTCCACCAAATTCTTCGCACTCATCATTAAGTAAATGTGTGAGCATCAGTTGAGAGAATTGGGTTTTTAATCTTTAGAGCGAGGGGGGTCCCGCCAATTCCAAAGGGCAAAACGTAAGTTGGTTTTCATCGGCTTATTTTATTCAGTGAAAGTATTTGCGTTTGCTACGAATGGGATGTTTTTACCCATTTTTTTCTCGTTTTTGTACTGAAAAGATTTAAGGGAAGTAGAGATATTCTATCCCCTTGAGATTCATAAGGCGTTAATCGATGTTCTGCGAACTCAGCCTTGTTTCATGCATGGCTCATAACCAATGATTTTTTCCTACAGAACCCCGCACCAGGTTTACAAGTGTTTAAGCCTCCGCTTCCTTACTCCGAAGTGGATGAAGACTATCATTTGTGTCCGTTACCACGTAACAGAACTGCTGGAAAATCAGGGAAACAAGGCAGGAAATACCTGGAGAGACAGGTAAAAACCAATTGATACTTGATCTGTGGGTGTTACAACTGAAAAAGCGAGCTGGGACCGCTTTGCTTCTGCTTTACTTCTCTCTGTGATTGGTCGTGCTCTGCCCTCACAGCCAATCAGACGCAAAGCGAAAGCAAAACGCTTTTGGTCAGCTTATGTAGTTAAATAGCGCTGGGTTTTCATTGACTCCTTGGTTTTTTCTCTCTGTTGTAATAGGTCAGTTCAGTTCTAATTTTAGTCTTGATTTTGCGAAACTTAATCAAGAAACTACTTTAAGAAACCTTTTTAAGTCGTAATACTCGGCCATCAAATACTGAAGAAAGTGAGTTGAGGGCATTTTCTATCTGTATGGAAAAAACTTAGAAGTATTTTCTGTCAAAAACTGCGAGATGGATCAAGCATTATTCTTCCAAGAGCCACGTTTGTACAATTTGCAACATAAAACTTTCCATTCAGAAACCTCGTATTTTACCTTTGAGTGTGGTGCGAGAAGAACAGTACAAATTGCAGATTAGAGTGATCATCGCAGTTATGAAGAATGTTTAAGTACCAGGGGAGGTAGAAATAAATGTTTCCGCAGTTTTTTCTCTTGCTCTCCGAAAAAATATCTGTCGTTAATAGCCATGCCACTTGATTTTCCGCCCTTCCCACGAAATGGTAGAGAGATCTGCGTTTTCTTTTCTACCTCTCTTTCAATCCTTTACAATTCCATTGTATGGAAAGGAGGGAAAGCGAAAATGGAAAGAAACCCAAATCATCCACCAGTGGCTGTCATCTACTTTGATTACAGCCACTAGATAAAGCATATGTTTTTTATTAACCTGAACAAAAACTCAAAACTGAGGTTTGTCATTTGTTTCACGGAAGTGATCTACGCAAATCAGCTTTCTGCTCACAATGGGTCCTACTTTTATGGCAGGTTTAGTTTGCTTTTAGATATCTTAGATTCACTTGACTAACTGTAGATTAAATTTGGAAGAAAATGACGCAGTTCTTGTCAGAAATTAAGTCCCGAAATGTTTGTCTCCTTGTATCCTTTTTAGGATGTTATTCCTGGTGTTATGACGTGGAAGCGGTTTCCTTGTCAGCCTCTGGTATCCATGGCAGCAAATCCAACGATATCAAATGTGTGGATTCCTCGATGGTGAGTCGATCAGTGAAGAGTTGAATTCTTTGACAGCACTTTTCAATAACGTGTCATTTCAAAAATCATGTGGTTGAATTATTTGACAGCACTTTGCAGTAATGTGTCATTTATGAATTTGGAGATAGATAGGAAAAATCGTTTTGCTATATCGAAAGTAATGTGATAAACCTTTCGGGAAACAAGTGCAATGGTTCGTACTGTATAGAAGGTCATGTCCAGCGTTGTGGCTGAATGAGTTTGACCCTTGATGTTTTTGCCCTATATAACTGATATGATAATGATTTTTGATAACGTGGAGCGAAATCACAAGGTTGGGTCTATTCAAGCCTCAAAGATCGCATGTTGTTATCCAACTGTATGAAGCAGAGTACAAATAACGGACGAATAGAGTACACATATCCTGCGATATTATACAGTTTTTTGGACTGTTGGTTATTTTGTACTGTAAAAAAACCTGTTTAACCAGTCGGCTGCGCGCGCTACCTTTCTCTATCCGCTTTGCTTTTCCCACCTTATGAGAAGTGAGCAGAAAGACCTAACAGGAAAAAAAGCCGTAAGACAATAAATAAGTTATCAGACGTTTTAGTGAGTAGTATCGCTAAGTATTTTTACTCGTTGTTTGTATTTTGACTCGCCCTACGGGTTCATCAGAATACGAGACAACTCGTAAACACACCAAAACGTCTAATGAGATATATTCATTGAAAGGAACGGTAAGAAAACAAACATAGTTTCTCCTTTTGCTAAAACTTGCCTACACCCTTTTCCGACCTTAGGACTGACCCGTTCAGTGAGGACCTGCTGCCTACGGAAGTGCCTTCATTACTACAAGGTCTCCCGGATGATGACGTCATGAGTGATGACGAAGCGTAAGTTACGCATATTTTAGCAAAGAAGATCAACAATGTATGAATACATGTATGCATCGATACGAAATCATGCGAGCGGTTACAAGAGTAACAGAATTGATAGAAAATTAAGATATTCACATTACTAAGGAAAATATGATCAACTCTGCGCAAAGTTTTCAACTGATAATAGAAGTAATTCTAGTTTGCGTTGGTTTTGCTTTTTTTCCGCTCTATTATTGGTGTATAAAACTTTGCTCGTGTAACTCTCGCAGCCAATCAGATACAAGACTTAAAACAAGCGCGAACTGGGCACGCACACCTTCCCGCGCTTTAAACAGTTTGCTCTTATTAGGTGGCTCTTCTAATTCCTGCCTCCTGGACAATTTATTTTCCAGTTTTAAAGGAACTATGCCTGCAATCACGTGTTTGCACGAAATTTCTCTTGAAGTCAACATTCTAGGACACTTCTCCCACACTATGTTCGCGTGCAAAATCTTAAACTCCTAGTTTATTCTACAGCGTCCTGTTACTGGACGCGGTGAAGAGTAAAAGTTTTAAACATTCTTTACTAAGAGAAAAAATATTAAAGGTGTATATTTTGTAGGGTGGGAGATTTCCTCGTAACTAATCATCCTGATTAAAGTTCCCCCAAGAAAGGGCTCCAGAACTAAAATAAAATTCGCGTTTGGTGAGGACACTTTCAGTAACAGTGCCTTCACAAATTACATCCTGATATCTTTTTGCCACTATCTGATGTTTCAGGGAAGAAGAAGGAGCAGACCCAGGCTTCCAGGAGATCCCAGTCCCCACGCCAGAAATGGTTTGTGCCCAGTTTCCCTCGGCAGAGAGCATTCTTGGAGACCAAGATCAGCAGGGGTCGTCGCAATTAAGGTAGCTCTCGACGTCTTCCGTGATTTATAATAATGTTACGTGTACTTTAGTTTTTCAGCTTTGTTATCTACAGTAAAGGGGTGGTTATACTTAGTCTGACATGATGGTATGTGTCTGTATCTTTATAGTGAGATGGTGCTTCACCCAGGCGGAAACACGAGAACCTTAGTGGCTGCTCCAACAGCAGCCACCACATCCTTCGTTCCAAGGTACTGATGACCTCCCTAGTGTATTACATTTTGTTTTAGGGTAGCTTACGATTCATAGAAAATAGCCGGTTCGGCTGGTCCATTCACAAAGAGAATGCTGGAGAAATTATTGACTGCCTCTGTTTGTTTTGCGTTCTTTTACAGGGAGAAACGTGAAAAAGAATTAAATGAATTTTTGAGACAGCGGCAGAACAGAGTGGGATTTAGAATCAAACAAAGGATACAGTCCATAAATGATGCCATGTCTTCGTCCAATCTGGAACTAAAATAGAATTTGATAAATTTGAAATTAGGAAACAGATGTGGCTGATTAGTTGTTTTAGTTAAAGTGCGAAAGATTTCACTTGTCTTTTTCCGATATTTGACCGTCTTTGCCCATTTCAGTGAGCCGTGTAAAAATTTTGTCTCTTTGGTTTGAGTTGTATATACATCAAGTGTGAATGTTATAAATTTGTTGATACGAATGGTGGTTCATTCCCAAACGTAAACAGAACATTTTGTAATAAAAGTGTCGTAAACCGACTGTGTTCGTGTCCTTAACCTGTGAGATACCAAACGTGCTTAAGTATTGCGTGATTTAGATCGTAACTAGATAATTGTGTTTTATACACGTTCCGCTAACAAATGAAAGCTTAGACATCACTATCCACGCTGCTAGCGCGAAAGCACGTAACACGCGTGATGTCTCGCGCGTACGCCCCTCTCTTCTTCGGTTACACAGTCTGTATTGCCACGTGATCACGTATTACGAAGACAAACAAGTTAAATCATTCCCTTGGCAGAAACAAAATGATTTGTCCACGGACGCAAAACAATGGAGCAAGGTGAGCTTTTAATAGTGAAGCCAGCTTTAGTTGTGTTGTGTCTGGTACAGAAAGGGACGATAACGTTGCTCGGTTAAGAATTACGCAGCTCGGTTTTTAGCGGAACTTGACTCAACTTTCACTTTCCATTGTTTATTTATACTGTGAGTGCGAGCGTTTCCGCATGGAAATCAGACACTGCATTTTGCATCGAAATTCTGACATGTACATGGACCGTTTGCACTAGAAAGGGTATTTTCCGAGAGCAAACACACATTTTTATTTCGATTTGTTCCTCTTTTCTGTTACGCCATGCGAAATTACGATCTTTCACTGATCGCAACTCACTCGCCGATGCTTACGATTCATATTAGAGAATTCGATGCACTCGTTATCAGTTCAGTCAAATTAGGGGGTAATAATGCATTATTTGAAGGAAATTTTAATTATTGATGGATTCTGCACAGAGAATCCGTGAAACTGCAAAAGCACAAGTTAATTTTGTTGTCAAACATTACGTATCTCAGTTTCACAGACATTTGATACCCTGTGCTAATCTTTAAGTAGGGGTTTTTCCCTTCGTCGCCTGAATCAAATTAGCATTTTGTGTTGAACAATTATTGAATCGTAAGAAATGACAATTGACTGCGACCTGATGAATTTTTAAAATCATTTGATGCGCAATTTCGTGACTTCGATGCAAGTTAGCCCACGTGTAGAGAACGGATACACGTAGGCTAGATTTTAGCTTGATTCCAGTAATCGAGGGAAATGTGTTGTAAAGACAGTGATTCGTAATCTTTGAGTTCTTAAATCCTCTTTTTGGGAAGTTGATTCATTGAGGTTCACTGCCTTAAGGTTTTTGCGTTGTCTCGCATGATTTGATCGGTTTTGATACGGTCGACTCGCCCCTCATCATAAATGCACGACCTATACAAACTCAAGGAGATTTAA